ATTTTCTACTTTTCCTTTTACCCGAACTCGTCAAGTGAGCAGTATAGCTATGCGGGTGAGATGCAATCAGAAGTCGATGACGTGCATTCAGAATTATACTAGCTTAGTAACAAAATTCCATACGTTGGCAATTTCATTCTATTTTAATATAAAACTTGAATAAAAATTTATAAAAAAAATACGATTATTTTGCTGTGTATCTGTAACTAGATGAAAATTTTTAATACATTAGTTTAATTTTAATAATATAAAAATTGTTATGTTAATCCATTTAAATATATTTTAAGAAAACTAGAAGTGTACTAAAATTACATGAATATACTTATTAATTCCTATAATAAATTTCAAAAGAAGTTTTATGTTTAAAATTTTTATTTGAAAAATTGCAAGTCTTCAAGCATTGAACATTATAAAAAATTTAAGATTTTACTTTAGTCACTTAAACAAAAATAGTTCTTTTTATTAGGAATTTTTCTTTTAAAGATATAACGCATTAATTTTTGAATTTTTAAATTGACGTTTGTTTTCAATTTAAGGGGGAACCCTAGGTATTGTTAAGTTACATAAAAATTTGAGTCACACACATACAGATTATAATTTAATTAAAACAATTAATTGATTTAATTTGATTGAATTGAAAAGTAATAAGAAAAATTTAATTTCAAAGAAAATGGCTAAATACCAATATTAATATTTAATGATAAAGTAAAACTAATGCCAATTTTATTAAATAAGAACTTTTAGCAATAAAAAGCCTGTACAGTAAATATTGTGGAATTTAAAATTTGTAAGTAAAGTTAAAAGCCAATATGGGGTTGTCGCATAGGGGGTGGAGCCCCCCTAGTAAATATACATGTATGTACGTTCTCGATAAACTTGAAGTGCTAACCAATGTCTCATTGTCAGCACTATTTATACAACTTGATGATTCCAAATTACGAACTTCCATCGTCAGGCTTTTCCAATTATACCACCCTTCAATGATTACTATTGGTTTAGATAATCAACTGAAAATCGTTACTTTAAATCATTCATGTGTTATTTTAAAAATCTGATAGAATTTATATTCATCACGAATCACACTTCAAACATTTTGTTTTATTTTATTAATTTAATTAATATATATTTATATATCGCAATTTTTACCAAGAAAAATGGATATTCAAAAGTAGATATTGAAAAGAATATATTAACATTTCACATCAAGATATTTACTTTAAATATTTGTGTAATGTACAATAAAAAATTAAACTTTAACTTCTAGATAAAAAGTGTACGAAACGATATAGAAAATTAATTATACCAACCTGAATTTAAATTCATATAGAGTAAGTAGGGAGAACGAGACAATAGACACAGACAATTCATTCCCTTCAATTTTACTGACTGACAGACTTAGATCAGTTTTCCAAGTTAAAAAAGATAAAAATACATTTAGAGAAAATGGTTTAATTGGAATGAATTTACTGTACGATTAAAAATTTTAGCTTGACTTAGAAAAATGTATTTTAAACCTATGACCTAAAATGCTTTAACTAAATTAACAGAGTATTCTATTATATCGACAGACGACCAATCTGTTAATACAAATCAATATAGATATCCACCTATGTTACAGGAAGAAGTCTACTAACAAATTTGTTACGTCATAACAATTTTATTTTAATTTAATATTTTGTTTGAAAATGCTTAAAGAAAACATGCAACAGGAAAACTTAGAGTTTTGAAAAAACAGATGTTTATTTACGAAGATTTTTATTTTAAGAAGCAATTTGTAAATACTCCACTAGAAGTTTACAACTCAATCCTAGAATAACTACTCTACGCACGCACAGACGACAATAGTAAAAAAGATAACAGCCATTAAACCCTCCAAATGAATTTATTATTGGTCGCCCAAACTATAATCCTGTTCAATTAAATCACCTGGGATAAACTCATTTGTAAAAAAGGCCTAATTCAGTTTTTCCAGAAATCTGTGACGTTAAGCGAAGGTGTCTACGAGCCTCCCCTTTTCTTAATTTCAACCAATAATTACACTTTTTAACCCCCACTAGTTAAATAGAATCTCCTGAAGTTGCATGACGACAAAAAAAACAGGGATGAAATGTAAAATCAAAATAAAATCTGACAGTCGCGTGCCTAGATCATAACGCGCTAATTTAGTCAATACAATTCATATCATATTATCACTCACGTAGAATCTTAAATTGCTTTTTTCTTTATTTGTAAAATTCTGTTTATGTATAAGGTGTTGATATCATTGAAAATACATGTATTAAATATATCTTAGTTCATATTTATTCATATACCACACCTGCATGAACCAACCAACAAACAAAATTTAAGAAATGTTATGCATAGTTCCACAGAAAAAAAGGACGCTTCAGGCAAAGTAAAATGGTTAATTGTAATTGATTATCGAAAATTAATGAAACAATAATTTTTAACAAATACCTGTTACCATGTATTGATGAAATAATTCAGCCATTAGGAAAATCAAAATGATCTGATTTTAAGACTTTTGGGTTTCAAAAATCGAACTCAGGTAAGTTTTTTTGCTCTTAGGATAAACTATAAACTATTTTATAATTTCCTCGGTTGAATCTGACTTATTTGATGGCATGAAGGTAAGGTCGGTTTACTTGCTTCTTTATCTTCTGATCAGATTTATAATTAATCCACAAACAGAAATCAGAAATCTGATTTCCGAATCATCGGACATATAAGTATCACCACTTTTAAAATAATTGAACTCAATAGAATCAGCTTTAATTTCCTCGGAATTTACAAGGTATATAAGAAAATAAAATAAACGACAGTTTTTATTTTGAGCTGCACAGTTATCTAACCATAGTGTAAGGTGCTTTTTGTCCCAATTTTGCAAGAAAAAACTGTGAAAAGCACTGATGTTGTCTTTTTTTTGTCCTGACAGCTTTATGCCAAATTACAGCTATTAGTTTTCGCATATTTTGCTAAGATCCCAATGGAACGACACTTTGATTGGAGGCAACAATTCTTCAAGTAAATAATACAACTTTATATTCTTCCATTTTTGGCAGCAATATAACTTTTTACAAGCCAACGGAAAAGTACCCTTTTTCTGATGAAGTGTAAGTTTTTCGCTGTGATTTTGATATTTCTGACGAGCTTGAATTGTGTTTTTATTATGAATTGACCATTTATTGCAATCTTTACAGTCGGGATTTAAATTTTCTTTATTGTGGTTAGGATTATGAAGTTTAAATATTTCGCAATCTTCTCATTCCTCATCGCCTAATTTTGTGAAGGAAATATTTATTTTAATTACTACAAATCGGTAACTTTCATATGAAATTTCGTGTTGAGGATATTTTTCTAGAAAGTCATTGTACATATTTGTGATTGTTAGTTCGGATGATAAATAACGCCTGTTAGGTGCGGGAGCGCGACGATTATGCGAAACAGAAGGGTGATAATTTTCAATATGAGCTTCCATTAAATTCTTAATTTCTCCTGCCGAAGTACTTTTTGCTTGACCTCTTTAAAGTAATAGGATCCATAGAAGATAACGCATTTTTAATCGTTTTATTATTGCTTTCTTTTAAACCCAGCATCGATGTAAAAAATAATTTACGAACTTGTCGTTTATTGCCTTCATCATCTTGAACTGATTCTTCTTATCTTGATTAAAATTCATCGTTATTTGTGCTATTAATGGCTTTATGTTTGCAAATGTGAACTTTACTTGAATTATTTCCAAAGTTAGGAAACCCTAATAGCACGATGCTTTTTTATATTGTAACACATTACAGCTCTCGGATGATCGAATATCGATTCTTTTGTACTTTTATCGGGATCACAAATTATTAGACAGTTAAGGCTTTTTAATGTTAATATTCTAACCTTTTTAAGGTATTAAATTGTAATGAAGAAAAAAATAATAAGATTCTTACATTTTTATCATGTGTAATATACGCACCAAATTTTAACGAATCTATTGATATAAAAAACTAATTTTTCATAAAAATGTCAGTTAGAGACTTTTTTCTTTTCTACGGCAGAATAGAAATGAATCACAAGGACGAAGAGAAAACATCTTTTAGCACAAACGAAGGTCATTATGAACATAATAGAATGCCCTTTGGTTTAAAAAATGTCCAATCTCTAACATTTAAAAGAATAATAAATAATGGATTAAAAGGACTAATACCCACGCAGCACCAAAGTTTTCTTGAAACTTAACAGTACCTCGCCCAGCTAGGTTAGAAGCATTGATTGGCGATGCTCATGGAATATTATGTGGTTGTTTAAATGTCTACATGAAAGGAATATTGAATACATATCAACCTTAATCAAGGTAATATTTTGTATTTGAAATATAAAGTAATGTTGCAATTATTGAAATCTTTGTAAAGGAAAGCTATTTAAAAATTTTATCCAAGTATGTAAAATTTAAACGCTTAAAAATAATATTTATTAAGTTTATTAACTTTTATTTTCACATTGAAATATGCTGGGTAACTGAAAATTTAGCACTTGAATGCTTGTTTTTGGCAAACAATATTTTTCGATTTCGGGTTACGTTTTGTGGCATAATAGAAACCATTAAGCTCTGCAGTTTCCATTAAAAATAATTTTCTCTTTTTTTTAAATTAATGTAAAAAGCAACCTTGGACAACATAAATGTTCTCATTTGTAGAACTACCCCTACAGTAAACTATATGAATTCTCTTTATTTGACTCTATACCCAGATAAAATGTGATTCTGACGAAGAAAAAAAATGAGATAGAAAAACGGTAATCTATAATCTTTTACAATCTTAATTAAAAAATATTTATTTTGGCATAGAATTATAAAACAATCTTCTTGTCCTTTTTAAGGTCATGTTATTTAGTGAGACGTTTTTCTATAGTAAAGGATATGGGGCACGTGAGCACTGAATAACATCACCTTAAGGGTAATAACAAAAATATAATAAATGTAAAAAAGTAGAAAAATAAATATTAATAAAACTTACCCTTTTCAGAACACGATGGAACGCAATCTCGAACCATTGACCCTTCGCTGACATATTTCTGTAATAAAAAGTAATAAATTTTTTCTTAAATATCAATACTGTTTTTTTTATAAATTGCTTCTCGTAATGTTTTTCATAGAAATTCTAAAATTTACACAAACATATAATGTATATATATATTAGCACAATTTATACTTGAGGTCTACTATACAGATTGCACTCTCTCTCTCACTTTTTGAGAGACACTCTACATCTTCTTTTCTGCATTTAAGCATTTTAGAGCTTTCTCACAGCTGTATCGCCAAATACGCAAGTCTTTGTGCTTTAGGAGCAATGGGAAGCTTTTGTCCGAGATAAAATGATTTCAAGCTCGATGGAATATAGAGAATGTAGCTTCCGCATCGCGTCCGTATAACCTCTGTCGAATCGTCGTGGTCTTTTCCTGCATTCGTATATATATGTATACATATCTTTCCATGTGAAAAGGCAAATGTAGATTTGAATGCGGAATGTCTCTTTAAGAAATTTTCGAAATAGCGGCTACCACAGCCACGAATGTGACGGAACTTAAGAATTTTTATTGTTTAAACAATACAAATTTTTACATTTTGAGACTAAAATTATTAGAATTTATTTTTTCATTGATAACAATAATTTGAATTAAGAAGGGTCCTACTTTATAAAGTTAAAAAATTGATTTTTTTTCTTTAAATCTTTGGACATTTAATTATATTAAAATCTTAATTTAAAACTTTACTATAAAATAATTATGAAATTTTAAAGATAAATGTTGTTTAGAGTGTAAATAAAATATTGAATTTAAGTTTTGAGCTGCGCCCTGAGAAAAGGGTTTTAATTTCGACCATGAAAAGCCTGCAGTCTGCCTAAAATGCTTTTGGTGTGTGGAGTGCACACACATTTGCTTTTAATTATTATTTGGAAACAAGGAATATTATTTTCAGTTTCTTTTACGATGAAGAAGAAATTAAACCGACGCTTCCTGTTCATAAAATTCTATCTTAAACGTCAATGCAAAACAATTCTATTTACAAAAGAAGTGCAATATGAAGTTAACAAAAGAATCGTGCAAAATAATTCTATTTCAATTTCCGTGCAAGACAATTCTATCTCAAAATTTCAATGAAAGATAATTCTTAATCTTGATTTAAACAAAAAGAAATGATTGAACCTCAAAATTGGTTTAACTAGTATTAAAGTTTATTATATCTTGCATTAAAACTTTTGATAGCATTTTTTTGTAAACATAGCAATATTTTGAACGTAAGTTTGAGATATAATTAATTGTCTTACACGGAATTTGAAATAGAATTATCTTGCACATTTCTTCTGTTAACTTCATATTGCACTTCTTTTGCAAATATAATTGTTTTGCATTGACGTTTAAGGTAGAATTTTATGAACGGGAGACGTCGGACGATCCGGCTCGATAGAGACTTTTAATTTCCTGTTTAAGAAAAAATTTATTATCAAATTCTTCAGGTATGTAGTTGTTAATTGCATTACTACTGAAGTGGCCTATACACTATAAACTTCTTCAATTTCACTATTTTCGGCAACTGTTGATGCGTCCTTTATCTATTGTGTTACAGTTATTCTCGGTATGTTTATCTCCACAATATACTCTCGTGTGTCCATTGTCAAACGGTATTTCTTCTCCAGGATGTAAACAATAACGAACCCCAACCAGATTATCCATTGTACTGTTTTACTCGTTAAATTCCACATCGCGCAGGTGAATCGACAAGAGCAAGAAGTGTATAAAATTTAATTGAGATCGATTCTTTATGTAAAAATGTTTCTGAATAAAAACGAGTTATGTGTAATTCAGTTAATTCTTCAATAAAAGGGAGAAAAAAATAAGATAATTGGTTGTTTTTTATGCAAACAAAATTCTGCAACAAATCATATTGTTCTATAACATATTTCCTCAACCTGTAGAGTAATTAATTTATTTGAACCAAAATCGACCAAATAGATGGTTTAGTAGAAATGAAAGTTTTCATTCAATCAGTGTTCCATTGGATTGTAAGGTCTTTTGTATTTAGAACCGTGGACATCAAAACGAAGTTGCCAATAATCAATTAAAGAGTACTGTCTATAGCGCAAGCTGAAAACTCATGACGAATTATCTAATTAATAATAATTAATTAGATCCGCGATTGTTAATGTATAGAGTGGACTATTCGCTGTGTAGCTCCAAACCCAACTGAATATACCATTTCAGAAATGTGACGAAGATGATGCCAAATTAATCATGCGCAAAACACTCGTTACATCTCACTTTATTCGCGAGCAAGAACACTCATATCAGTTCGCATACATTTATCATTTTCTAATCGCGAGAGAGAAGGAATGAAGGAACCCCACATACAATCATTCTGCACTCCATCTGTGCCATTTTTGCGTAACTGACGTACATTATGTACAGCTTTTGCGCCAAACTATACGTCTGCTGTCTGGAAAAGGCATTTCAAATGTGCATAATGAAATGTACTTTACATTTTTAATTTTTGAAAATCAATTTCAGATTCGTTATAAGCGACCCGAAAACTCCCTAAGTAATAAGTTTATAGAGAACCCCATTGTTTTTGGAAGCAGAACACTATCTTTTAGCGTAAATCATCGTCACACGACACGACCGTCAAATTTTCGTGTCGTTTCGACTTAGCTGTCATCTTTGGAACGTTCAGAAAAGTTTGGCTGATAATATTTTTAAAAAATTTGATTACAATGAAAGACTAACTGTGATTAATAGTAGTCTTAATATATATGAAGTACTGAATATATGTTTCTTCACACTGAAACATATAATGCCATACATTTCAAATACCATCAAATTTCCCAGAAAAGCTATATGCCTGTTAAAGAATCAGTGGTATATGAGTAATTCTCGGAGAGCTTTAGGACAAACCGGAAGCCAATTTGTACAACTCTCATAGAAAACTGAAGTGAGATTGTTCGTGGTGTGTGAAAGCAGAGAGAGAGAAATGTAGAAAGCTTGGCACAGAAAGCTCCATCAAATAATAGGAGAGTAATGAAGACAAACGGGATATGAGAATTTAGTTCGCAAGAGCTACTCACTGAGAAAATAAGCACCCAATAAGATTTTATCGTTGTTACAATCTTTTATTTCAATATAAATTTAAATCTATTCTATTGTTTTATCCCTCGCCTTTAAAACGAATGAGTAAAAATTGCAGAATTTTTCGGCGCGTTTAAGGATCTTGTAATTAAGACTAGTAATTGGTTGTTGACGATGATTGTGAACCAGCACTCTGTATATCAATGTTGTGTTCTTTCTTCCATTACATTTTAATTATTTACATAAATTGTTATGAATTTTAATAAAACACTAGCGATATTGTTCTTATTGAATTACGCCTATTTTTATGTACTTCTTACAATAATTATTTTCTTGTTAATAATATTTTACTTTAATCTTGAAATACCTCAATATTTAAATTATTGTTAATATTTTATTTACCTAATGAGCATTTAAGCTTAATTACAAAACTGAAAAAAATTCTTTTAATAATACTATTATTTAATTCTTGTAATAGATTATATAATATGACGTCTTTAGCATATTAAAATTTTATCATAATACAACAAGAACAATTAAATTATAGCGATCCTAGATACATACATTTACAATCAATATCTTAACATGTCCAAGGGATATTCAATTTGTTTTGACCAGGGACAGTCTTCAAACATTTGTGTTTAGTCTTGAACACAACACGTTAAGGGTATGTCCAAGTTGTGAAATTTAAACAAACGAAAATGTAAACAAACCATATTTGACATATTCTATATTTAACAAGGAATTTGTCCATATGCATAAGTCCAATAGTGCCAAAATGGCCCCTCTTCATGCGGACGTCCACATTTATAAAATCCTTAAAGAATAATTAAATTTTTAATTAATTTGTCTGGTCAACACTCGATAATATTTCCAAACAGAATTTCACCTCATAATTTAAAACTTAAAATTAGAGCAATGGATATGAGGCATTCTATTAATAACCATACCACCTGCAAATGACTATCGCGGGTAGAGCACTTTTCATATAATTATAATTTATTTTATTTGGAAAAACTTTAAATATTAAATGTAAATAATGCTTTTAATACAGGGTTAGTTTTTCTATGCCAAATTCAGTAAAAAACGAATTTATACTTTATTTTTTTCTCTGATTACACTAAAAAGCCCAAAACAATCTTTGAATGGTAAAACACTGCAAAAAATGGCGTCTAAAAATAAGACGTTTATGGAGCTCTCACAGCTCTGCCTGCCTGCGCAGGCAGTAATTGGAGTAAAAGAGAAAATCAATTAGAGTGAAAGAGATAGTAAATTCAAATTTGTATGCTGCCTACTAGATGTGAGAGCGCCTTTAGACGTTTATAAACGTCTTATGTAAATAAGCGTCTTATTTGGGCGTCTTAAATGAAAAACATAACCTCCAAATACATGCATTTTAGAAGGTAAATAAGACGCTTATAAACGTCTAAAATGTGACCATGTAAACGTCTTAAACCAAGACGCTCTTTTTTTACAGTGAAACAACAGAATCTTTTCTATCTTTTGAGACAACTTTCAAAAACAGTAACGACAACATATTTTGAAACATTAACGCTCAAAGATTCTATATTCTTAAAGCTTGAGAAATTCTCTATTAAATGCATTAATTACATTTTATATTTAATGCTTTTGAAAATAAAATTAATTATATATAAAAAGTGCTCTACCGGCGACAGTTATTTACAGATGGTATGGTTTGGAATAGAATGCCTCATACATATACTTTTAAGAAACACGAACTTAGAAAAAGGTCTTTGCAATGGTACAAGATTGAAAAAAAGAATTGAAAAGTTTTACGATTTACCGGGAAATACTTAATGGAAATCATAAAGGCGAAATTGTTATTGTACATTTAAAAATAAATCTTAGCCGGGTAAATTTTTAAGAAAGTAGGACTTTATTTATCGTAATCAGTTTTTGCTTATTTCCAAAAGGTGTATCAATAGTTACCATAA